TTCCCTGTATATAAAAGTGAAGAAAAATATTACCACAGCAAGACAAGACTTCACAAACTCAAAGCTAAAAGAAAAAGACAACAGACTGTCCGTATATGTGATCAAAATTTTTTGTCTGTCTCACCACAGTTGACAGAAATAGCAACTCACATTTACATGGCAAATTTAACATAGCAAAGCACCCTAAACACATCACAGGAGGTTGAAGTCATGGTCACTGATGGCGCAGTGATTAAAATCTGGCATATGCAAGAGACCAAAATGGGTTGAGGTTACAGAGAAAAGAAATGATGAGGCGATGGAATGATATGAAAAGAAGAAAGAAGATTTTAAAGTTGTAAGCTTCTTTAATAAAGAACTAATGTAGGTAAACAAGCACTTGAGTACTGGGTGATAAGTGTGTGGTGGAAACTTGTAAAAAGGGTAACAGAGTTTAGGACGATCTCAAATTTAGATTAATTATTAAAAATTAAATTTACAGTTGTGAGGAGCCAACTCGAAGTATATTGCAACATTAAGGTCTGGAAATAACCATAGAAAACTCAGTCATCACAACAGTATACAGTACACAAGCATGATCAGTAGTACTGCAGCAATTTTTAAAGTTTGTGTTGGTGTCACTGGCGAGACCAGCATTTGTTCCCCACACTTACTAACCCTAGGGGCATCTGGAGTCTAACATATTCCTGTGGGTGTGAAATCACATGTAGGCCAGGCCAGGTAAGGATGACAGATTCCTTCCCAAAAGACTTGGGACTTTCCAACAATGAACAAAAGGTTACATTAGATCAGCTTTACAGATTTTTCTTTAAAATAAACTGTACTCAAATTTCGTCATCTGACATAGTGGAATTCAAACCTATGTCCCCAGAACTTTTGCCTTGGATTCTGGATTAGAAGCACAGTGACATTACCATAACGTCATTACCTTTCCTGTTATATATCACAGCATTACATAAATGAAACCTCAGTTGCAATGATCTTGGATCAAAGGCAGACAATAAATAATGTAGGACTCGGAATAATAATCATAAGTAATTAAAATTGGAATTTTAAATGAAAGCAGGTATGAAAATGTTAGCAAACAAAGAAATAGGAGAGAAGCTCATTCACTGATTCAAGCTGCCCCACCATTCAACAAGAGCATGGCTGACATATAGAAGCAGCCTGAATGGGTGGGGTCAAGCTCCCACAGAGCCAGGATTTTAGTTTAACTTTTAGTAGCTGTTAAGGTTTGGAATCTGCTCTCCATCGTCCCTGCTACAGCAAAACGCTTGAGTTCTCGCTCTCCCCAAGAATTTTCTCCATGTTCTTTCCTCCTGGACTGGAGACACATTGTCTTGCAAGACAATCTGTTTTACCGAATTTGCCTTTGTCAAGGATGTGTTTATGGGATCTTACTACATTGGAATAGTTGTTGTTTAGTAGTTAAATAACCTATTATTCTGTTATGTTTTCGAATATAGTTAAGATTTTCCAATTCTTCTTTCCTTTGTTTGTATTTTAAATGATAGAGTTAAAAAAAGAAACTGTGTTTTGCTTCAAGCCTGGTAGTTTGACCAGTTGAATTGCATCCGGAACACAACACCTTACGCTTACCTTTAAAAATAAGAAAAAAGTTGGGGTCTAAGCTTTCTTCTTAGTATATTTTGAGGGGATTTGGTCTAGTTCATAACGACCTCTTTAAATATTTTCAGTGACCTAGCCACCACAACTGTCTGGGGTAGAGAATTCCAAATACTCACTACTGTCTGTGAGAAGAAATTCTATTACATCTCAGTTTTAAATGAGTGTCCAATTACTTTATAACCATGTTCCATGGTTTGAGATTCCTCCACAAGTGGATACATATCGTCAACATTAATCCTGTTAAGCATCCTCAAAAACTTATACATTTCAATTCTTCTGTATGCTAATAAATAAAGTAACTTGCGTAGCCATTCTTGTTAATTTAAATCCGTCATTCCAGGGATTAGTTCAGTGAATCTCTTTTAAATAGCATCCAATGCCAGGATTTTTTTTTTTAAAAACTACAGGGACCAAAACTGTACATGGTATTCCAAGTGCGGGCACACCAACATCTGTGCAGTTATAAAAAAAGAGGACAAAGAACAAAGAACAAAGAACAATCTCCAGGGCTCCATGGATGACAAGGGAGATAGAAATTAAGATAAAGAAATGTGCTTATCGTTATGGACTGGACCAGACCAGACCAGAGCCCCTCAAAATAGTTTAAGGGGGTAGCCGAGACCCTAACCTTTTCTTATTTTAAAGCAAATATAAAGTGCTGTGTTCCAGATGCAATGCAACTGGTCAAACTACTCGATGTTAAGCAAAATACAATTTATTTAAAGACTGTACTTAAAATACAACCAGAGGAATTTAGAATCACTCAACTCTATTGGAAAACTTGACAGAATAATAGATACAGTAAAGATTCCAAATTAACTGTTCCAATACAGTAACATCTCATAAACACACCCCTTGGCAAAAAGGAAAATTCAGACACAGGTTCTCGCATGCAGTTCTCCAATCCAGGAAGAAAAAAACATCAAGAGAAAATTCAGAGAAAGTAGCAGCTAGGAGACATTCACTGAAGCTTCCAACTCTGTTGAGACCCCAAAAGCCACTGATGCTACTGAAAAACCAAAACCCAGAAACCCAAAGAGCTGGCCACACCCATTCAGGCCATAACCCCAGACTACTCAGCATCTCTGCCTTACAACATTTCTTGAAGAAAACCAGGATAAAATAACTTCTTAAAAGCCATAGTATTGTCACATTATGACAGGTGCCAGGTAGAATATGGCAGGCAATTGAGAACTAAACTCTCTCAAGGTTCAGAGAGGAGGTGAAAAGCCAAATAAGAGAAGCAAAGAGGGCATATGAGAAAAGACTGGCAGCCAACATAAAGGGATCCCGAAGTCTTTTATTGTCGTTTAATATTATAGTGAGTTCCTCGCTGTAGAATTCATATTTTTGATTTGAATGTGCCACCAAAACATTTGTGGATGGCCCAGTTCAGAGAGAACAGTACAGCATAGAACAGGCCCTTCGGCCCACGATGTTGTGCCAAACTTTTATCCTAAACCTAAGGTCTATCTAACCTCCACCTCTACCTTATACTATCATCCACGTGCCTATCTAATAGCCGCTTAAATGCCCCTAATGAGGCCGACTCCACTACCCTCTCCAGCAATGCATTCCATGCCCCTACCACTCTCCGAGTAAAGAACTTATCTCTGACGTCAGTTACTAAACAGTGGTAACTCCCAGGATATTGACAGAGGGGGATTCTGTGGTAATGCTACTGAATGCAAACACAATACAATACAATATACAATAATGTTTTATTGTTGTGTATACTCCATTGTAGGAATACAGTGAAAATCTTTTACTGGTACCTCACACCGGTTTCTGTCCAGGACTTGCTGCCTGTGTGCTGTTCCAGGGCTGCTTCCCACGTGCTGCTGCGGGGCTTCTTCCCATGTGCTGCTCCAGACTCACTGCTCACAGGGCATGCCTGCAGGCCCCAGAGCACAAGGCCACACTGCCCATGCTGGTTCCGCCGCAGGACTCAGATCATGCCCGCTCACTCAACAACTCCACTCTCGGAGGTGGGGTGGGGGTTGTTGGGGAGTGACAAGACAAAAGAAAAGCAAAGAGGGAAAAAAGTTAAAAGGGACTCCTGCACAGACATCCTGGACTCAGATGACTGCCCTCTAACAACCATTACCACTTTCCTTTGTGCCAGCTATGACTCGAACCAGCAGAGAGTGTTTCCCATTGACTCCAGTTTTTGCTAAGGCTCCTTGACGTCACACACAATCAAATGCAACCTTGATGGCAAGAGCAGTCACTCTCACTTCTCCTTTGGAATTGACACTTTTACTTGGTCAGATTTTGGACAAGATAGGTTGATCAGTAATCATTAACAATTTGACCCTATTTCGCTGTTTAATTACTTCACTTAATTTTCAATGACAAGTTTCTTGAACAATTAGTGTACATATACAACAACATCTTGAAAAATCATCAGAAGGTTAAGAACAAGATGCTGTTTTCTTGAAAATAGCAGCAGAGCAGAGCAGAGCGGATTAGCCTGAACTGTGTGACGATTCTAATTCACAGGGTCTCTCTTCAAATCGCTGGCTTGATTTGCACATTAACACTGGTATGCATTGCTCAATCAGACAATTACTTTCTCAGAAACATTGAGGACTCAACTACTGCTTAGTAGTTAGAAGGAAGTTTTAAATAATTTAAATGTTTAACCTATCATGCAGTTGTAATAAGTATAGCTGAAAGCAAACACAAATAAGAAGTGTCTTGTGGCAGAATAGTAGTGTCCCTATTTCTATGCCAGAAGGTCCAGGTTCAAGGCCCACCAGCCCTGGACTTGTGTTCTAAAGTATCCAAACAGGTCGATTGAAAATAATTTTTAAGTTTAGAACAGAATTTAAAGCTATTCACTTTGTAAATAACCATACCATATTAACTCATCTACTCTAGCCCATCAACATATCTTGGAGGAAAGCAATGTCAAACTTTTGTAAAGAACTCTCTTCGGTTCCAGCCAAAACCTAGTAAAAGTTTCCAGTTTATAAAGCTTAAACTTAAAAATAATGGCTTTTATTTGTTGATGTGATATTTAATGTAAAAGTGTTCTTTTTAGTTCTGTATCAGGTCTCTTTTACAGATGTTATGTTCATTAATTCATTCAAAATATGAAGTTGATCTGCTAGCACAGCAAATTTCCAATGCTACCGCCACCTCACCAGTTTGGTCATGGATAGGTTATTAACTGAACAGTGCTTAATCAAACATTTCATCTTTATTAAATGTCATTTAAACTCACAGCATACATTAACAGCACAATTATCACTCCTTCAGTGGTATTTGAATCAACGGCTATAATGAGACATGAGCACTGCCCTGAATGACATCTCAGCTAAAATGGATTAACGGTTGAAAAATCATAAGAAAATTCAATTACAAACCTTAATCTTCAAGTAAACTGCAGTTTTGTTGAGGGCAAGACACCAAATTGTAGCAGTCATTCAAAATAGTGAAATGCACATGCATGGTTTTCCCCTTCTCACGTTCCTGTGTTTTAGGTATACTCCTGACTTGTTAATTTGAATCACCGCAAATCCCAAATATTAATTATTTACTTTCTGTCCTTTTCAGTGGCTATGACACCTTGCCAGCAAAACTGAGTAGAGAAAAATTACAGCAACAAATTAGTCTCAGCAATCAGAATTTCCTTGGCATATTTTTGTACAGATATTCTTAATTCAGAAATTTTTAACCATCCATTTAATCTCTTGGCTGGATAGTAGTGATCATAAGATGCAGCAGTAGAAGCAATCTATTCAACCCACCAAGTCTGCTCCAGCTTTCAATGTGATCATGACTGATGTGATCATCCTCAATTCCACCTTCCTGCTTTTTCCCTCGCAGCTTTGGATTTCTTTATTGATTAAAAATCTGTCTATTTCAGCTCAAATATTCTTAAGGAACCAGCCCTGACAGAACTCTGTGGTTAAGAATTCCACATACTCACTACCTTCCAAGAGAAGTCATTCCTCATCTCTGTCCTAACTGGGAGCCCCTTATTCTGAGAATATGCCTTCTGGACCGAGACTCTCCCACAGGAGGAAAAAGCTCTCCACATCCAACCTGTCAAGCCCCCAAAGAATCTAAACGGGTTGCCTCTCATTCTTCCCAACTCCAACCTACACATCCTCACCTCTCAAGAAAATCCCTCCTCACCAATTACAAACAGAGGTGGAAAGGCTGGTTTGGTCTCAGCTGTCTGTCTCCATATCATAACACATGAAACAAGCAAAGAAACAAAAGATGCATCCAGAGGAGGTGAGTGTGACTGTATCTTGAATAGCTGCGTTTGGAAAGCAATATCAAGGAAATTTGAGAAATGAAAGAGTGAAAAAGACCCAGTAACTTCTGTGTTTTCAGTTATCACATTCTTTACAGTGGATTCTATCATCTTCCCTACTACTGGCATCAAGTTAACAGCTCCCTACTGCTCCAATCTACATCTTTCTCCCATCTGAAATCACAGCTACATTTGCTAATCTCAAATCAGCAGAAACACTGCAAGAATCCCTGGAATTAAGAAGAATAATGATTAGCGCCACTGCCTCAATTGTTGCTTCGTTCAACACTTGGGATGAAACTAATCTTATTCAGGAAATTTATCACATGTCAAACCAGCTAATTTTTCAACTACTGCCTCCTTATTAACATATTTTAGGCCATCAGTTACACAAGTCATAGAATCATACAGTACAGAAGAGGACCTTCAGCCCTTCAAGAATGCACCAACACGCGAGAAACACTGACCTTCAACCTAATTGCATTTACCAGCACTTGGCCCATAGTCCTGAATGTTATGACATGCCAAGTGCTCATCCAGGTACTTTTTTAAAGAATGCAAGGCAATTTGCCTCTACCACCCTCCCAGGCAGCAAATTCCTCTGGGTAAAAGAGGTTTCCCTCACATCTCCCCCAAACCTCCTGTCCCTCACCTTGAACCCATGTCCCCTCGTGACTAACCCTTCAACTAAAGGGAGCAGCTGTTCCTATTGCCCCTTGTATTCTTGTACACCTCAATCAGATCGCCCCCTCAGTCTTCTCTGCTCCAATGAAAACAACCATTCTCAAAATTTATATTTTTCATCCCAGGCAACATCCTACTGGAGCTTCACTACACCCTTTCAGTGTAATCACATCCTTCCTGTCATGCAGCAACCAGAATTGCACAGTTCTCTAGCTGTGGTCTCAAAGTTCTATAGAACTTCAATATGACTTCCCTGCTTTTGTAACCTATAACTCAATTAACAAAGTTAAGTGTCTCATATGCCTTTCTCGCCACCTTACTAACATGCCTTTGCATCTTCAGAGATCTATGGACTAGCATTCCAAGGTCACTTTGTTCCACAGAACTTCAAAGTGTCATGCCATTCATTGAATGTTTCCTTGTCAAATTACTCCTTCTGAAGTCTATCACCTCACACTGTTCAGGGTTAGATTCCATCTGCCACTCATTTGCCCATTTGAGTATCCCATTTATATCTTATTGTAGGCTAAGACACTGAACCACACTGTTAACCACCTGACCAATCTTTGTGTCATCTGCAAGTTTACTAATCCAACCCCACACCATGCCCCCCCACCCCCGCCAACAGTCATCTACGTCATTTATATAAATGACATATAATAGGGGGACCAGCACAGATCCCTGTGGTATGTCACTAGACACTGGCTGACAGTCACGAAAGCAGCCTTCTGTTGTCACACTCTGTCTCCTAAGTCTGAGCCAATTTTGAATTTACTTTATCAAATTACCCTGGATCCCATGTGCATTTACTTTCTTGATAAGATATATGGGACCTTGTCAAAGGTTTTGCTGAAGTTCATATAAACTACATCAACTGCGCTACACTCAGCTACACATCTGATTACCTCTTCAAATAACTCAATTAAAATTTGTTAGGGATGACCTCCCTCCGATGAAGCTATGCTGACTATCCCTGATCAAACCTCACCTCCCTAAGTGGAGATAGATGTTCTCCTTCAGAATTTTTTCCAATAGTTTCCCTACCAGTGACAGGAAACTCATTGGTCTCTAGCTCTCTGGTTTATCTCTACAACCTTAAATATTGGAACCACATTAGACATTCTCCAGTCCTCTAACACCTCCCCCACGACCAGAGAGGAATTAAAAATTTGGATCAGCATCTCTGCAATCTCCTTCCTTGCCTCCCACAGCAGCCTGGGACAGAATTCATCCAAACTTGGAGATATGTCCACTTTTAAGCCAGCCAACACCTCCAATATCTTGTCCTTTCTGATGTCAATTTGCTCAAGCATCTTGCAGTCTCGCCTGCTGGATTCCATACCTTCATCCTCATTCTCTTGGGTGAAGACAGATGTAAAGTATTGGTTCAATACTCTACCAAAGTCCTCTGGCTCCATACACAGATTGTCTCTTGACCCCTAATGGGCACTACTCTTTCCCTAGTTATTCTCTTCCCATTGACATACTTCTAGAATATCCTGGGGTTTTCCCTACTTTTATCAGGCAGGGTTTTCTCATATCTCCTCTTTGCTTTCCTAAGTGCTTCCCTCAAGTTCCACCCTGCACTTTTTGTAATCCAATTATGCCTCTGCTGGTTTGTTCTCCTTATACCCTGCTAAAAGCCTCTTGGTTACCTCATATTTCTGGGAGATGTTCTCCTCTTCTACAAAGGCAGACACAAAATAACAGGTCTAGTTCCTCGACCATTTCCCTGTTTGCCATTAAAAATTCTTCTGACCCCACCTGTTGTTATGGAAGATATTTGTCTTTGCTAATCTTTTCCCTTTCACACATAAGCTTTTACAATCTGCTTTTGTATTCCTTCTTTGTTGGGTCCAACATCGATCTCAATCCTTAGGTTTACCATAATTTCATCCAATGTAATCTTTAAATTAGTTTATTAACCATGCTTGAATTATCTTTCACTTTGGGTGTTTACGTATGAGAGGAATGTCTATCTCTTGTGGAACTTGCAGTATTTTTTGAATTAAAGCCATGATCTGTCTACAATCAAAACATTTAGTCTACCTTCCCAAGCTACCATAGTCTCCTATCCTCAGTTTTCTTTGCTCAGATATGAGTATATTTTAATGCAACATTGCTCATTCTAACGTAAAATTCGATCATGTTATGCTCACTATATCCAAAAGGCTCCTTTGCAGTCAAATTATTAAATAGCCCTTTTTCATGACTGCAGTCTGTGCTCTTAACTCAAACCTGACTTTGTATTCAAGCTTGGTGCTATTTTAAAAACCAAAAGAACTGCAGATACTGGAAATCAGAAACAAAAACAGAAGTTGCTGGAAAAGCTCAGCAGGTCTGGCTGCATCTGTGAAGAGAAATCAAAGTTAAAGTTTCGGGTCTGGTGACCCTTCCTCAGAACTGTTGGTAGCTAAGAAAATGTTGGCTTATATGCAGAAGATAGGGTCGGGGAGGGGGTAAGGAGTAAGCGATGGTTAGGGATAGAGCCCAAAAGAGACAGAACAGTTGGGCAGATAAAGGAATCCGCAAAAAACACCCTGAGCTTCCCGTTGCCTGCCGCTTTAACGCACCACACTGTTCCCTCACCAACATCTGTTTCAGGCTTGCTGCAGTGCCCCAGCGAAGCTCAGCGCAAGCTGGAAGAACAACACCTTGTTTTCTGCATGGGGACCCTGCAGCCCACTAGGTTCGATAATCGAATTCAATAATTTTAGGGCCTGAACTCCACCATGTTCTAGCCCCCTATCATACACACCAGGCCTTATTATCACAGTCTGCCATTACACACTACCTACTGTTAGCCACTAACACATTCTCCATTAACAGCTATTCACTCTCCCAGCCAGATCGTTATCAACTCCTTTGTGTGTGCAACTGTTCTTCTCTCTCGTTGAGCTCTATCCCTATCATTTACTCCTTACCCCCTCCCCCCATCCTAACTTCTGCATAAAAACCAACGGTTTCTGAGCTACCATCAGTTCTGAGGAAGGATCAACAGACCTGAAACGTTAACTTTGACTTCTCTTTGCAGATGTTGCCAGACCTGCTGAGCTTTTCCAGCAACTTCTGTTTTTGTTGGTGCTATTTTAATCTGGCATACTGACCTCTGCATTGTGGAGGCCAAATATCAGCTCTCAGATATGTACTCCTCTCTCCCTTGGACCATGATGCCACCACTTAACCCTAGGTTATTCTGTCCACAATGGTCACGATTCTCATTTCATCTAGTGATCTCCCCATCACTGCCTCCAAGCTCATCATCCCCCAACTCAAAGCTTGCTTCTACCTCTTTTCCAAAATCCACAAACAGCACTGCCCAGGCAGACTCATTGTTTTACCTGCTACTGCCTGACAGAACTCATCTCTTCCCAACCTTGACTCGATTTTTTTTCCTCCCCTTGCCCAGTCCCTTCCAACTTACATCCGCGATTCTTCTGATGCTTTACATCAGTTTCAGAATTTCCAGTTCATTGGCTCCAGTCTCTTTACCATGCACATGCAATTCCTCTACAGTCCATTCTCCATCAGGATGGTCTCAGGGCTCTCCATTCTTCCTAGAAAAAAAGGGCCTGAACTGTCCCCAACCACAACGACCACCCTCCCCTGCCTGGCCGAGCTTATCCTCA